AATTAGCACAGTCGTGAAAGTTATTAGTTAGTTATTCTACTAATTGAGTTTTTAAGGCTCATAGGTTCCCACAGCCGCACTTCTATTGACGATATGGAGTGTGGTCAATACGAATGCTTGCTTACAGGTAGCATAATCGATAGAGTTTCATTAGAACTTACCTCTTGTGTGGAATTGTCGTCACTGAAGCGCACTCCTTTACCTTCAATCTTCCTCCCTTCTGTGTCCTGCTGATCTTCAGGAACCACCTCTAGCGTTTTCTCCGTTGGTACGATCTGAAACTTGACATTGTTCATTCCAGTAGGAGCTGTTTAGCCTTAGTTTCCCTCGAAAATTTGTAAAAAGTAGAATTTAATTTTTCTCTCTTTGATTCTTCCAAAGTGCTACATAAAGGCGTCTTGCTGCTGTAGCACACCCCAGAATTTTATCCAAAAGCTCAAGAAACTCTTCTGAAAAAAATTTGCTAAAGCGCTATGATGTTCTTTCCGTGTAAATCACTTGACTTCGGGGAAGGACCACATGATCTAAACCATCCTTACTATTGAGAGACATTGAGTGCTTTTGGGATTTGATATCTGTTCAACCTCACAACAATCTTGGTTCAGAAAGTTGTTGGGTTCCGTTTCACTAGGCAAACCCGGCCAAGGTAATGATTCCAGCAGAAAATTGTGACATTTCCCATTTGCACACGGTAATGTGTCGTAAATCCAATAATTTGAGAATAGGGATGTACTGTAATACGAAAACGAACCATGCAAAAGTAAAGTACTGGGCTTCCCCCAGAGGACAGAAATTTCGTTGTGATACCTAAGTGAAAACAGGAAATGGGGGGATGAATAGAGTCAACTCATAATTGTGTTTCGTAACTCCAATGGGTACCAATGAATCTACTTTTTATCACAGTTCGCATTATCCTTCATTATCTATTCGTAAGCCTGGAATAATATCCATGCTAGCAGGGGTTTGACTTGATAGACACATCCCTTGTGGTACATTCCGCAGTGGAAGGGGATTACTTAAAAATCCCATCAGAAATCAAGTTAGAGGTGGAAAACGATGCAGGAATAGATACGAACGAAGAAAAGCGGTCCAGTACGCGAAGACTTTGTTCTGCCCTTGAATTCTGCATTGATGCAAGTCCCATCGGTCGAGACTTCGTCAGGTGAACGCTCTCCTCTGCGTCTCTACTAAATGGCTAGTGACCGTCGCTAGAAACCCGACGGCGAGGGAATAATCAGTCAGAAAGCGGGCAGCATCGCCGGTGTAGCCCGGTTAGACCACTAGGGACGAGCCCTTAGCTGCAGAACGCGCATCTTCTCGCACCCATAGGAGGTCCGCCTGCCTTTCTACTAGGTCACGGTGAAAATGTAGTTCGAGGGGGCCACTCATAATATCTAATCGAACTGACAATATCTAATCGAAGTGGAGCTGCGGAAGGGCGGTCATATCTAATCAACATCCAGAGCACAGTCTCTGAGTGTATGATTAGATAGGGATACCAACCGGATTCCATACAAAATCGGATACCTGAAAGGCCTTCTTCGAGGGCTCGCATGGCAGTCGCAAGAAGGTTTGGTGAAAGTGAAGAGCCAGCAAGGTAGCAGCCATTTTAGCCATAGAATAATATGACAAGGGTAAGCGTACTAGTCGTAGGCCACGGTCTCAGTGAAAGATATGATAAGATATAAGTGCCTTCCCGCAACTCTACTTTGATTAGATATGAGTGTCTTTCCGCAGCTCCACTTCGATTAGATATTGTCAGTTCGATTAGATATTATGAGTAGCCCCCTCGAACTACATTTTCACC